TATTTATATAACATATATATAAATGTGCCGAGGCAGAATTTCCAATGTAATAGGTAGACTGTACGTACCACAGTTAGCAAATACGTCGCTCAAATAGTATTTTAGAATACGTTTATTTACTACACCACCGACTCATTTTACCCACAAAAATATTTACATTTTGTAACAGAATATATATTTATATAACATCTGGCCCTGTATGTACAGTACAGCATAAGCTCTGCTAGTCCACTGCATATATTTCACATTGGCTTCAATGGTTTGTAGAAGCTGTGTCCATTGAATTTAGCTTACAATTTTCTAAAGGGGTGTACACACCAGGCGATTTTTCATGCGATCGAGCCGGTCGACCGAGCCGGTCGACCGAGCCGGTCGGCTCGATCGCATGAAAAATTGCGTAGTGTGTTCAGTGAGTCGCATCGATTTTCGAGTCGGCCGGCCGAGTCGCCCGATTCAAACATGTTTGATAATTATTTGAGTCGCGCGGCTACAATCGCGTAGTGTGCCCGGGTCTGCGATCGAGTCGGCAAAATTGTACAATTCATCAGCCAATCAGCGTGCTGAAAATGCACAGAGTCGCCCGACTCAGTCGCGTAGTGTGTCCACAGAGTCGCCTGACTCAGTCGCGTAGTGTGTCCACAGAGTCGCCCGACTCAGTCGCGTAGTGTGTCCACAGAGTCGCCCGACTGAGCCGCCTTGCTCGATCGCATGAAAAATCGCGTAGTGTGTCCACAGCTTTAGATGCATTATCCATTTACATTATATCTTGTCACACCTATACTTTGTTAACCTTTGTTACCATTTTGTACAACATTTTCCATCTCATATTACCATCATATTCCCATCTCATTCCATCATATTTCATTTTGTCTTACATTATGTCCTCCCTGCACATGGCTGCAGTGGCATGCAAATATTGGACATAATGTCAGTTGATGAATCTATATATAAAACATACATATCATGAATAGCACGTAAAATTATAGTCAATGTGCGCTTGATATCATCATGTTTAAACAGAAAACAATCTAATGAAATGGTCTTTACTGGATTCCGTTTTAGCAAACAGTACGTGTCCGCATAGGTATGCGCACCTATTTACACATAAACGCGGGTTATCTCATCAAGGACCGCATGTTTGCTCACAATGTCTTACGATCGACAGTGCTGCGATACAACGTTACCGCATGCCCTTACTGGCGTTCATTCCCGGATGCGGTTGCTTTCCTCCACATTCAACAGTGAAATCAACAAGTGGGCCTATACATGCTCGGGAGAAATGCCATTGTTGGCATTCGTTGTTGATTGCATATGAGCGCGCACGCGTGGCATTGAGCTGATACATAGCAGCTGATACATAGGCAGCGCGTAATCACATCGGCAGGCCGCGGGCAAACAAGCTAATTACACTCTGCGGCTGCTTTCATCTGACCTGCATGACGTAGCAAGTCGCTGCGTTGCAAGTCTTTCCCCCTAAATTACTGAGCTAACGTGGGGTGATGAAATCATGCACAGACAATGGCCTGGCTTGCTGTGAATCCGTGGCTTCGCTCAAGTCGCTTGATTCTGCAGTTCGTGATAAGGTTTGCCTGTCGAGCAGACCGATATTCCCGCACGGGCAACCACGTTACCACAGCTCCCGGAGTGCCGCATCCCTGGTGCGTGCTCTGTACACGGGGAGCACGTCACTGCTGTGGGGGTTTCAGCTTCACCTGAAGGAAGCCACCACAGGGGTCAGTTACCTGCGTAGTTGCGAGATAGCCGTGTTCCAGCGCGATCATCATCATCATCATCATCATCATCATCATCATCATCATCATCGCCATCATCATCATCACCATCATCATCATCACCATCATCATCATCATCATCATCATCATCATCATCATCATCATCATCATCATCATCATCATCATCATCATCACCATCACCATCATCATCATCATCATCATCATCATCATCACCACCACCACCACCAGTCCTGGTTGTGGTCGTGCTGCTGTCGCTGCTGCTGTTGCTGGGTGTGATGGTGGTGCTGTTGCTGCGGATGCTACTGCGTATTCTGCATAGGTCTGTCTGAATCTTTCATCCCCAGGCGTGCTGTTTGAATCCCCAACGCTCGAATGAATGAAGCGCGCTGCATTTTCGCGCCACGCCGCATGCGAGCGTGCTTGGCTAAACGCGCGGTTAGGTGGACATAGGTCGACGTTAGGTCGACGGCGCCGATTCAAATCGCCGACGGTGCGGGACGTGCGTGCGGCGAGGCGAGCGACGGCTATCCCTAACCACGCCCACCCACGCCTAAACACACCCACCCAGTGAAAAGCTCGGCGCTTCCCAGTGCACGCGTTGCGACGAACGCGAGATGCGTAGACTGGCGGCTGTGATCGGCAGCAAGACGGGCCTACGCATAAGCCACACATGATTCCATGCACCTATTGCTAGTCCTGGTGGCATGCTACACTGGCAGCTGTGATTCAGCAGATAGACGGCTCTGCGTAAGCCAAACATAATTTCACATAGTGTTGGTCCTGACGGCACGCTAGACTGACAGCTCTACGTATAAGCCAAACATGATTCCACCGTTTGCTAGTCTTGGTGGCCTGCTACGCTGGCAGCTGTGATTCAGCAGATATACACGATATTCAGTGATACGGCGATCCATACGCGTAACCCATTTCTCTTTGTGTGTGCAAAATGGAGAGGCGAGTCGCTGCGAAGAGCGCGCAGCATAAATCACCGCGCGTAAAAAACCACGTCGCGTGAAGCTTCGCATGAATTCCTTCGCGTTGTAGGGACAACATACTATTCGTGGCGGCGGCGGCGGCGGCGGCGGCGGCGCGCGGTCGCCGACGAACGACGGACACGTCGGTGGGGAGCGGCAGCAAGCGGCAGCTGGAGCGTTCGTGGAGTCATGGAGTGACGCGCCCGAGTTTTATCAGGGATGCGGTGTTTATAGCAGAGCAGAACTATCGCGTCGGCGCGTGTAAACAGTTCGTTGGTAGAAGCGGAACCGTAACGAACGTAAAAAAAGCTCCGTTAAGATGATGTTAGATGATGGAAGCAGAGAGGTTTGGTTAGATGAGGCGAAGGGGATCGAGGGGGGACTTATTGCGTTATCATCGGTCACGGCCTGTTGCGTATACGCTCGTTGTTACGTAACGCTTGTTGTGCAATTTACTACAGGTCCACAAACCCTGGACCGAGACGCTTGAACCAGATGTCTTTCGGATTTTCTATCGAATTTCAGAACGGATGTACGACGAATGTACCATTTATTATACGGTACCACCCTAGCGGAGTCTGCCGCATCAACCCGTTGGCAAACGCATCGTTATTTCGAAATCACAAAATACAACACGAGTGACGCTTCACGCTTGCCTGGGTCAAGCATCGGTGGCGTTCGGCTTCCCTCGGCTCATGTTCGGCTCCATTCGGCTTATGTTCGGCTCCATTCGGCTCATGTTCGGCGCCACTCGAATCATGTCGTGCACTCGATTGACGCTCTATGATATAAAAAAAACATGGGCTTTCAGAGCTTTTAGAATTGTGGAATTGCGGATCCGAGTGGTTGTGGACATGTAGTAATTTTGTTATCAATTAGGGCTTAGCCCTGCACTTTAGACTGCCTGTGTGATTATAAGTGGATGGGGCGTACGTGCAGTCAGCTGTCTGTCATGTCTCCACCATCGAGGCAGGCTCTCCCTCTCACGATGGAATGAGATTATATCCCAAAAATAGGGGGTCTGTGACATAGAAAGTTAATGGGAACAAGCGGCAATGAAGGCACAATCAGGGCGAGAAAAACCAGACGGTGCATGTGCCACACTATAACGGCGAAGCAGTCCTACGAACTTCTCGTACATGAGGAAAGTCACTCGGGCGTTATAGCGGAGAAGCGGATATATGAACCTCAGCGAGGTTAGTTTACGATCTATGTACATCCTAACGTGAAGAACGCCCCGGTAGTTGCTTTGTCAGGTTTGAAACGGAGATGATTAAGTAGGGCGAGCATTGAACGAAACTGCGCGCGTAAAGGGAATAAATCTAATTGCCACTGCTACATGGGTTTCGCGGTTTAGCAGTCGTTGGCGGGCCTGATCCATTTATCTGTGTCTGAAACACGGCTGGCACGACCAGGGTAATCATCGCTGCCCCTAGCTACTGCTTGCCTCTGTTTCTCTCACCAGCCCACCAACTCGTTAATCACAACCCAGCGAGAAGAATGCATGAAAACGCTGCGACAGTCTCGCCTACCATCCTTACCGACTACGCGTTTTCTTCTGTGTGCACCGCCCTCTATTACCCATTCACTCAATCACTCACTCATTTATTCGCTCATTCATTCACTCGCTCGCTCGCTCACTCACTCACTTACTCACTTTATTCACTCACTCACTCACTCACTCACTCACTCACTCACTCATTCACTCATTCACTCACTCACCTACTTACTCACTCACTC